TGGTTTTCGAAACTTGGCTGTGCACTGGCAGTTTTCTTAATCTGTAGCGAGTTCTGTGGACCGGCTTAGGTATTGTGCCTGCATTAGCTCGTTGGTACTATTGTATGTGGCGCGTTTCATGAAAGCAATAGTCTGTTATGAACGAAGGATTCGCCGGAGAAGTGTCATGTACTGCTGAAACCAGCAAACGTTCTACACTCACACTCACTTCCGGAGACAACCCAGTTTCTGCAGACTCCCGCTTGTTTGAGAACAGGATGCCGAGGAGAATATTTTGACTCAAAGAGACTGAAAGAACTTGAGGAGGAAGAAATTAAATGAGAGAGAGCTTCATAATCTGTGATATTTGTGAAGTCTTATGCTTCTGCGAGCTGTACAGTCCATGATGAGCCTTGGCTTCTTTTATTGTAGTTAGCCATTGGTCTTGATCGTATGACTTTTGTCTCCATTTGAGTGTTTCCGCCTGGCTGCAATCGCTAAAAGCTTCTCAACAAATGAGGCTTTTTGCGGGGTGGGGTTGTTAACTTTACGCCAAATCTCAAACCCGGAGGACCAGGGTATCCCTTTTTGTTTGGATCATCGCCTTTGACCTGTCCGGCATGGCAGACCCTACCAGTAGCTACGCTACCACCAGCATAGCTCTCAGGATCATATGACTACCCAAGCCCCCACCACTAAGTCAAAGTAGGGATACATACGGGACGATAAAATATTATTAGGATTACCAAATTAAAGGGATGAGGTGGCCACAGCGTGCAGCATGCACTGGATATGAGAAATGGGTAAAGAAATTATGTCGTGAAGCATGGCGGGAAGAGGACTGTTAATGGACGTAAATGGAAGGAACACATTGTGGATCTTAAATCTGAGAGTTTGGACAAGAGTAATCTTGCCCGGGCTGGCAGCCACTGATGGACTTTGAGAACATGGCACTATTTGGGTTCTGTAAACGGATTGGACTTTGATTGATAGCACAGTGACCATCAGCCTCTCAGAAAGGATTGTGCCCGATGTTCCCTCAGCTGTGCGCGTGCGCGGCCGCGCAGCGACTGTCGCACTCCCGCGCACCCTTATTGGTTTAGTATACAGTCAGTCTGAATTAATAAAAATAAAATTGGAAAAAACTACAATTTTTCGTTTTTTTTGTGAACATATAAATCTAATGTCTTTTTAGAACCCCCCCCAGGTTGGCCAAGTCAACACATTTGCTGGTCAGAAGACGCCATGGTTTGCGCATGCGCATCCCTGGCTTAGAGAGAACGTTGATTGTGCCCCATAGAGTTGGAATCCGTCTCTTTAAAAATGCAAGGGGCATGCGGTAGCGTAGTTGGTTGAGGCACTATGATATAAGCTGGAAGGTCGCTGGTTCGATTCTCGATGAGGTCATTGGATTTTTCGATTGACCTAGTACTTCCAGCTGCACTACGGCAGTGGGGTTCGACTCTGCCTCTATCAAAAATGAGTACCAGGAATCTTCCTGGGGGGTAAAGGGCGGCCGGCGCTTAAGGCTGACAACCTCACCGCCGACTGTGAGCAGATTGTCTAGAAAATGTGAGAGCCTCGACGTCTCACAACCCTATGGGTCTCCACGGCCTGTTACAGGAATACCTTTACGTTAATTTTTTTTTACCTCCATAGAAATGCATCATTATTCAAACGGTCTTGTCAGTTTTGCATGATTTCGCCTTCGTTTATATTTGTTGTGTAAGGCAAAGCAAACATGTGTGCTTCGGAGTGCCAGATTCCTGTAACTAGTCTTGGCGTCTCTTCGGACATTGATCTTCTTCGTGCAATGCACAACTCGAGCGGTGCAGTACCGCTGCAGTCCGTCTCCTGGTTATTTATATTTGATAATCAATACATCCCCCACCTCAACCTCAACCTCAACCTCCCGGCTGCTGACAGCAGGCTCCGCGGATAATGCCATGCGGACAACGCGAGGTATGTGTCTGGTCTGCTTCCTTTTTCACAGCAGAATTAGAAAATGCCTGCGTTACAAAGTTCGATTTTGGAGTTTACTTTAGGTGTTTGTGAAGAGAATTGTTTACCATCGACACTTAGTGGGGAGGGCATATCATCCGTAAGTTTCGTCTCCGAAGCGACTCCAAGGAAAGCGATTAAATTTGGAAATGGGGGGGGGGTTCTGTTTTAAAAGTAATTACATTTAATTTTCAGCGTACAAAACTTAAGAGATCTCCTTAGCATCTGAATTTTTTAAACATTTTGACATATTCAATAAAATAAATGGAACATAAATCCGTGCAGTGTGGCATCCGTATCTTGAGTTAGCTTTCTTAACGATATTTTTGTATTCACAATAGTCGGTATAGCGTCGGGCTTCGAGATGGACGGCTCTGGTTCTATTCCCGGCATAACAAGAATTTTTTCTTCTCCACAGTGTCCAGACCGGCTTTGGAGCCCATACGGTCTCATATCCAACGGGTTCTGGCGGCGATTTCTCCCAGGCAGGGGGCTAAAGCGGTCGGGGCGTGAAGTTGACTACTCAGCTTCATCTACTGCCGAGGTCAAGAATGGTTGAGCTATATCTTCACTGTCCCATATGTCTTCATGGCGTAGTGCTTAATTAAGCACAGGGACAGATAAAGAAATAAAACATCGATGTCTCTTAGATACGAAATGTATTAAAAACGCATTTGGAAAATAGGAGAGGCGCCTACTCCGTTGATCTACCTGTACTTTTCCATTGTTGTCTGGAAGTGAACACAAATCGGCGAGGAAAACGAAAAGAACAGCCATGAATTCTTACAGCGAACAGTGTTGGTTCCGGTGTTACTTATTGTGAGAACATAAATAAATTTAATTACAAATTTAAAGTTGTTGCTAGCTTTATCGACGTCACTGAAACAATTGAAGAAAGTTAGTAATCATTAGGCCGCGCCATAGCTCAAGCGGTTAGTCGCTGGCTTTACACCGCGGCGGCCCGGGTTCGATCCCGGGTCTGGTCAAGTGGGATTTGTGACGGACAAAGTGGTGCTGGGGCAGGTTTTCTCCAAGCACTTCGGTTTCCCCTGCCAATCTTCATTCCACAACTGCTCCACAATCACCCTCACCTATCATCTGGGGCTGGTACAGCAGGCCAGAAGTGGCCGCAGTACAATGGACCTAGTCCCACCCCACTAGCAATAAAAAAATAGAAATCATGAATTCTTCTGAGGAAATCTGACATTTTTATGAAATACGTATTTCTATAATAATTTGGCTATCTAATATCTAATGTTTCTGAACCCCCAAAATGTGCAATGTACACGGCATGTGCTTATCGTGTTTCTGTTTAGCTTCCAGACGTTGGAGGACAGCAGCTTCAAGGTTCGAATCGCAACTCGATCGATAGTGGTGCTACGCGTCCTAAACAGAAGCGTTGTTTTTTGTGCGGTCCCCCGAAAATCTGTTTCGTAATGTGGGTTACGTAAAGTGGGCCCCTGCTTCTCCACCTGCTCTTTCTGGGGGTACACTAAACCACTGGTTTTCAAACTGTGCATCGTTAGGATACCTTTCATTGTCGTACATTAAGGTAAATAATCCTCTGTATTATGTCTGTAAATAACTGTAAAGATAATGAGCCTGAAAGTAACACTTCTATAATAGTGTTTTCATTATTTGCATCCAATGTGTGAGCATATGACCTTGACGGATTAGGCTCTCTGGGCTCTTACCCTTCAGAATTAATTGTGAAATTGCGAATTTTATAGACAATCGGTAGGGCTCCTTGGAAGGGGGATCAGACCAACGCAAGACCGCTACCTACACAAGACAAAACGAACACAGAATAAACGCTGATGTGCATGCCTCAGGTGGGATTCAAACTCACGATCCCATTGTTTGAGTGGGCTAAGATATTTCATGCCTTAGACAGCGCGGCCACCGTGATCGGCGCACTAGAACCTGTAGAACGAATCTAATTTTAGTGCGAACCAGTCAGTTATAAGCCACACGCTAGAAAACGGTCCCAGATATATCACATCATACAACAAATTGATATAGTGACAGAAAATATGGAAGTATTAACGCTCGCAACTTTTATTATAAATATTTTTTTTTTCGAGGCAGCGAATATGTAACTAAGAACAAGGAAGAATACATTCAGACTCTGCAATGTTAACTGCGGTGGGAATGAGTTTCAGTAGTGATTTATCTTGGCCAGTGGGGTATGAAAAATCGCTTAGAACGCATCTAAAAAACATGTATGTTTGCTCGTAATCAGAATGGATTGCAATATCTTTCCGTTCTTTATATACCAGATGTCGTAAAAGCGTGGCTCGCGAGCCGCATGCATCTCTTTTGAGCCGTCAGTGAGGCTTGCCCATAAAGCTATCGTCTGTGTGTTATATATAAAAAAATCTTCTTCATGGTAAGCGTCTGTGTCCGCCTTTAAACACCCGTGCCATCCAATCCACGTCTGTCTGCAGCTGCTGAATTTCACACGCGTCTCCGAGTTTGGCCACCCCTGTCATACAGTATTGGCCTGCGAGCCACTGGTTTCAGGTCCCTGCTGACCACTGTTTCCTTTGTGGTAAGCAGACCGCGAAATTATCTGCCTCGAATGTCTGATAAAACATCCTGGTCAGTGTAGTGTAGGGACTGTACTGTATTACACGGACAATATATTTATACGCATTTTTCAAACCTGGTGTACATAGTGCGGTACAACAGTGACGCAGTGGTCCTGTTGTTATACTTACATCAGAGGATGAAATTCATAGCGCAAACAGGAGAAACAGTAGTTTCACAGAGAGACTAAGCTTTGCCACGTTAAGTTGTGTGAACGAATATCTGTGATATCCAACGGAATGGTCNGGGCCATTATCTCCGTAACCGTTCAACTTTGGACATAGGTGTTTTGGGTTATATCGGCATACTTTAACATAAGGAACACCCTCCCGAAGTTTGGCACATTCCTCCTGGGACACCCTGTATATAAAATCTGAAAATAATTATTTGATTGATCAATAAATTAATCATCATACAATCTGGTTTGCCAGGATACCTCATCAAGACCAGCTACGGGCTAGACGACCTGGCTTCGATTTCTGGACGTTTGTTTACACCACGATTTTGAACCCTCTGCCCGCTGGCTACTGAGTCTCTGGGACTAGAGTCTGGAACTGACAAGTCGCCTCCAGCGGCTGCTTCTGAGGTAGCGAATGCTTGGAGCTTTACTTCCTTACATGGCATCGTGTTTAGAGACAGGGAAAACCTTTAACTCTTTGGTAATAGAAACCCAAAAAACGTACGAGCAGTATCTCAACACAGGAGATTTGTTTTTGCCCATGATCGTTGGCCATTTCACATCATTTTCTTTAGCTAGGCACAGTGCGTGAAATTTTGTATGGACATAGTTCATAAGTATGCCTGTTGGAGTGAAACGTCAACTGTAGGGAGGTATCAGACTAGGATGCCATGGCGTCCAGCTGCCAGATGGTCGGGACTGAATTTCAATTATAAATCTTTCGCTGTCGAAATTGAACATGTTTGAAAGAAATTAGAAACACACANAATTTTAACTATTTGTAATTATTTTAATTAACTGGAACGTGGCTATCTTGGACAAAGTGAAGTTTTGTGTGTTGGTGATTTCTTTTTCTACTATAAATGCCTCTGATGATGGCTCCGTGGTGAGCCGAAACATGTAAGGCAGGTGCTGACGAGGTGGAAAACTTAAAAAAGTGTCACATTTGACGGAAGGAACTTGATTGTTAATACATTGAGTTTTACCGGGATTTTTTTTATTGATGGTGGGTAGGGACTAAGTCTCTTGTACTGCGGCCACCTCTGGCCTATTGTACCAGCCCCACATGATAGGTGAGGGTGATTGTGGAGCAATTGGTGGAATTAAGATTGGCAGGGGAACCGAAGTACTCGGAGAAAACCTGCCCCAGCGCCACTTTGTCCATTGGCCGAGATGCTGGCAGCTGCGCCATGGGCTCCCGTTGGCATCCTAGTGCAATACCTCACCGGTAGGTGATGGATGGTTCCCTGAAGATCTGTGCCAATAATCGATTCATTATACGAGTATTATGTTGGACACTGCCCGTACACAACATTTCGGGAACTCAAACCAATTCTATCATTAGGGTTACAGAGGGGGGTGGCGGGAGTTATAGGTCCTACTCTATTGGTAAAGGTAAAGTAAAGTTGTTCCTGTGATTAACTAATTAAGCACTACGCCATGAAGGCGTAGGGGGATGGATATATAGATCCACAGTTTCTTGACCTCGACACTCGTCACCGTCACGCCCCGGCCGCTTTACTCCCGGGGAAAGAGCCCCCGTTACCCCTTAGGAGGCTGGGTGGGCCCCACAGCAGGTATGGAGGACGTGGAGAAAATTCTTGACCCTACCAGGGCTCGAACTCCGACCTCTCGGTCTTCCAGCCCGTAGCCAGTCGGTATACCGACTGAGCTATCCCGGCTCTCCCTACTCTGTTGGTTCTGTTAGGAAGACCTAGTGCCAATTACTTGACAAGTTATTTTTATCGGGCCCAACGGAGAAGAAATCTTTCCCCTCTTAATCCTAACAACGGAGTCGGTGTCTTATGTCGAATGCACCCCATACAATGGACAGTGTCCAGTACCGTACTCGTGCATACGTGAGTATTGCATGTGTGTTATGTGTGTATATTCGTATGTGGAGGCTGTAGAATACTTCCACCGTAGCCCTGCTAGTCGTAGAAGGCGACGGAAAGGGAACCCCGGTGTCTGTGGTTATAATTGGGCCATCCTGTCACTGGGGGACATAAATACAGAGCCCTGGCCCTCAAGGTTGGGGGTTGGACGCAAGGCTGACGACCTTGTTCTGTGAAAAAATTAAGTTGTGAAATCCAAAGAAGTGAAAACCGAATGGTCTCATCTCCTGAGGATGGTCATGACTCAACAAGGGCTGTTTTGCAAATGATGATGAACTCTGTTTGTCTGTGTTTGTGTTTGTGTGTGTGTGTACACCGAACATGTTAGCCTAGGAGTAACGCTCTAGACCAGCAGTCGGCAAAGATTTTTCGTAAAGGGCCAAATATAAAATACATTACACTCTGAGGGCCAAGAGGCAAACTCGAGGATCTTTAAAGGTTGGTACAGTTAAAATAACAGGTTAAAAAACAAGTTTTCACAAATTTACTGGTGAAAATGTAACATAATAAAAATACAAAAGGAACTACAATCATTGTTGGAAACACAGCTTTAGGCTACTAATGGGATGAATGAAATTGTTTTTTTTTTTAGATAACATTTCTTCAAATTGGGGGTCAAAGTTAGTACTCTCTATCATCATAACTGATTGCAAATGTTCGTCTGTTAATGCTGACCTGTATTGAGATTTTACATATTTCATCTTTGAAAATGTCTTTTCACACAGGTAGGTACTACCAAATACAGAGATCAAACCTCGAGCATGTGATCTTAATTCACCATATTCATCACTTGGAAGACACTTATAGAATTCTGTTAGATTGTTCTCTTGGAATTTGCCTTTTAGCATGTTATCACACTGCAGATTAATCACTTACAATTGAAGGTTAGGTGGAAGTTCCTCAATTGTACAGTTAAATGGATTTTCAAATCTGGAAATGTCTTCTGCACTTGCATCAAGATCCGAAAAACGTTGCTGGAACTGTTTTTTTGAGCTCAGAAAATATATCACCTGCAAATTCGTGCGGGAATGGGGAATCCACTTCTTCTTTTAATGTTTGACAGCATGGGAAATGCACGAAACAGCTTGACATGATTTGTGACTCAATCAAAGCCAGTTGTCGTCGAAATGATTTTACCGCAGTATAAGTTTCACATATTAGCACTGTTTTGCCTTGTAGCTTCAAGTTGAATACATTAAGAAATCCCATGATATCAGCAGCAAAAGCTAATTTCCAAAGCCATTCAGTGTTCGATAATAGTGGTTGAGGGCGTTTTTTCTCATTGAGAAAAATTTCAATCTCTGCTCTGAGTTCAAAAAATCTTAATAAAACTTTACCACTGCTGAGCCATCGAACTGCTGTGTGGTAGGGTAAGTCAGGATATTCGGCTTCCACTTCTGACAGAAAATCACGGAACTGACGATGGTTCAGCCCACGAGAACGAATGAAGTTCACCGTTGACACGACTGGTTCTAAAACACACGACAGATTAAGATATTTGCCACAAAGTACATGCTGGTGAATGATACAATGAATAACCATAGGCCTTGTACACCTTGCATTTTCACAAGCTGTGTAAATGCTTCCAACTAAGCCTTTACCTGTTCCAGACATATTTTTACCACCATCAGTTGTCACACATTTTAGCTGATTCCACTTCAGATTGTACTTCGTTAACATTTCCTCAACTTCCTTGAAAATGTCTTCGCCTGTAGTTGTTCCACGCAGACTATTCATAGAAGCTAATTCTTCAGTCACTTCAAAGTCAGCATTGACTCTTCGAATAAACAGCAGCAATTGAGCAGTATCTGTAATGTCTGTCGACTCATCAAGAGCTAAGGAAAACCACTCGAAATCATTTGCCTTGTTAATTAATTGGTTAGTGATGTTGCTACCAATGTCCTCAACTCTTCGGGCAACTGTTCTCGCGGAAAGGCTGATATTATTAAATAAATCCATTTTCTCTGGACACATTTCTTCAACTGCTACAATCAAACATGATTTAATTAACTCACCATCAGTAAAGGGTTTTCCTTCCTTGGCTAACAAATGAGCTACTCGTAGACTTACTTTACTTGCAGCCTTATTTTCATTTTTCATTTTCGTGAAGAAACTGCGTTGTAATGAAATACTCCGTTTCAAAGTTTCTAATTTTTGTGATCGTTCCTTCCCTGTGAGTTGGGAATACTGTGCCGAATGCTTAGTCTGGTAATGCCGACGTATATTGTACTCTTTTAGTACAGCTATAGTATCACTGCACAATAAACACAATGATTTGCCATCTAATTCAGTAACAAAATAATTCTCACTCCACTCTGCCTTAAAAGCGCGACATTCCAAGTCCACTTTTCTCTTTTTTTGTGGTTTCGACAGCGACATGATGGATATCCACTGGTATTAAAACGACACAGAATAGCAATATACGTGGCATTCGTAACACTGCGTGTCATCACAGAACGTGCGAATGGGAAGCTATAGGAGCGCCACACACGGCAATTCTCGCAACTCCTCAACTCAAGGTCGGCCGTTGGAGTGCGTAATCATCCATAGACAATATGTTCGAAAAAACGTAGGTTTCTTCTTATAATTAAAGCTTCATAGACGCAGAAATATTAAACTCATATTATAATAATTATCTTGTTTCATGAAATATTATCCCACTTTGACATTTTTAAGAGTTTGGAAATGTAAAATCTATTCTTAGCGCGCGGGCGGCAGAAAAAGCGGCGGAGGGCCGGAGTTGGCTCGCGGGCCGTAGTTTGCCGACCCCTGCTCTAGACGAGTGTTTCTCAACCGCGTCCCGGTACCGGCCCTGGCATCAATTATACCGGGCCCTAGTCATATACAAAAAATAATTTACCGGGCCGCGGTCTGACAGAGGTTGAGATCCACTGCTCTAGACTTGTACTGAGGAGGTTCTTGTTTCGAATATCGGCAGGGACACCTGCCGTCCTGACGTAGGTTCTTAGGGCCCCATACACGCACAGTTTGGCCTCCAGTTCGGCCTGCACAGTTGAAGACTGAAAGGCAAAACTGACGTGTGTGGTGCGGCCGGCCGACCAATCGCTTGGGCTGTTGGTCTGTAGGAAACCCGTCAGTTCTGCCTGCAGGATGTAGCACGTGACACGCGGAACCTACTTGTGTGACGATACCGGCAGGCCAATCGTTCAGTTGCTGCTGCTGTCTCGTGTTCTTCACTACTGTTTCGCGTTGTGGTCATTTCTCGTGGTATTTTGAAACTTTGTGCTATGGCGACATGGTCGAAGGACTTTTTAGTGGAGTTTATCGAAGAATTTCGTGGTCATCCTTGCATTTGGAAGGTGAAGAGCAAAGAATACCACAACCGTGAGATGAAAAAGAATGCTTATTTAGCACTGACGGAAAAAATGAAAACAATTGACCCCCAAGCTAACAAGGAAACTGTGTTGAAAAAGATCAACAATCTACGAAGCAGTTTCAGGAAGGAACGGAAGAAAGTATTGATGGCTAAGAAATCTGGAATGAGGAGCGAAGACCTCTATGTCCCGAAATTGTGGTACTACAAAAATTTGTTGTTCCTGGTAGACCAAGAAGAGGCCTTGGACGGGGTTTCAAGTCTTGTTAGTGATACAGAGGTAAGTGGTGTAATTAAAAATCAAACTTTTATTGCATGTTAACAATTATAGATTACAATTCTGAACACTAAATAATTCTGTGCATGTGTACGGAATCAGAGCCTTCTGCCTGGATGTACTGTTTTTAAAAACAGAACTTACGTTGCCATGGAACGTTTCCCTCGTTGTTGAAATACTCCAAAAACAACTCTCTTACAAGCTTCGCATCCTGGGTAGGAAAATCCGCTGCCGTCTTTCCAGATCCATAAATTGACTGCAGCGATAACCAGGCGTAACATTCCCAGTTTCAAAATCCTCTTCATCCAAACACTCCAATGGTGTGTACTGTTTCGGAATCTTGCTGCGCAAAAAATTTTGCAGGGCACAACACGCCATAACAATATGGCGGACGCTAGTGTGGTCTGTTGTCTGATTCGTCCAAAGAAGGCGATCCATCATCGGTACTTACCCAAGGGGGGAAGTAATCTTGAAATGTATCCTCTCTGCCGTAAAGATCACCTTGCAGCAATCGTTGTGTGTTGTGATTTTCGCAGAGTTCTTGATGTGGGCACTGCGCGATTATTAATCGCAATTTATACTATAAATTGTTTAGCGCGGAGTCTGAATGTGACCGCACTCAATGGGCACGTGCAAGAATGCTGACTCCCGCTTCAATTGTAGAGGTCACGATGGCATACCTATATGAACCCCATTTCTGATATGTTACATCCCATACACACTATATATATCCCTTCCAACAAACAACATCGCCACAGGTATGCATACTCTTTGCAAACACTACCGCACAATCTGCACGTGCTACATTTGTTGGTTGTATTCAGCGCAGTGTCCACACCAAGAACTCTGCGAAAATCACAACACACAACGATTGCTGCAAGGCGATCTTTACGGCAGAGAGGATACATTTCAAGATTACTTCCCTCCTTTGGTAAGTACCGATGATGGATCGCCTTCTTTGGACGAATCAGACAACAGACCATAGTCAAATCTATGATAGAGATGGGTTCCTGTGATACCGCAAATCTCTCCACAATGATACCAAAAACACTTTCAATCATTCGCCGAGCTCTAGACAAAAGGTAGTTGAATATCTTACGGGCTGGTGTGTTTACTTTACGGCTGAAAGGCTTCATGATGTCTTTCCTCAGTGGAAAGGCATCATCTGCTACAAGAACAAAAGGCATATTTCTCCCAGCAACAATTGTTTCCTTTGGCACATTCAAACTCCCACTTTCGAGTGTCCTGTAGAAGTCTGTGCTTTGAAAAACTCCACCATCGGACTCACGCCCATTTGATCCAAAACTGAAGTATAATAACTCATAATTGACGTTTGCAACCCCAAATAAAACCTGGCTGTGGAAATTTTTATAGTTAAAGAAGAATGATCCAGCCCCTGGAGGAGGCGTGATAGTCGCATGCTTTCCATCCATGGCTCCTATGCAGCTGGGAAACTGCCACAGATCTTCAAACTCCTTAGCAACTTTCTTCCACTCCTCTTGCGATGTAGGGCACTGTAAACAGATGAGAGAAGGCACTGAGAGGAAGAGAGAGACACATACACACAGAGAGGGGGATTAACATGCTTGGGGTGTACCAATATTTTTGTGTTTTGTTGTTTACAGGACTTAGAAGAAACAGAACAAGAAATTACACAAAAGTCAGTCTCTCCAGGTATTTCAACGCACTCCTCTGTTTCAAACCAAAGTGCAGAACTAAACATCAGCACTGGTCCAGACATCTCTTCCTACGGCTGTACATTCAAACGCAAAAAGAATCAGATACTTGTGGCAGTGGGTGATCGACTGGCTCAAGTGAAAAATGAGGACAGATTTGACTTCTTTGCAAAAAATGTCGCTGCCAAATTACGAGCATTAGGAAATAATGAACAAAGGATTTATGCAGAGAAATTAATAAATGACGCCCTTTTTGAAGCAGAGCTTGGATCGCTTTCTAGATACTCTTCAATCAATACCGGTACTGGAGCATACTATGCTCTTGGCCCTTAGTCAAATATCTCTTCGGGTTCCATCCGCGATGATTGCGTGGGTCACTACTAGAGAGGCGGGTCAATATTACTTTAATTCTTTAACTCCTGCCTGGGCTATAGTAACTGTTAGGCATGAGAGATTTTTTTAATGTGCGTACCATGACAGTTTATTTATCTTCCTGTATTTATAATGTTACCCTCACTTTTCATATCCTATGTAGTAAAAGTAAAAATGTTCAAACAAACTTGTTTCACTTACTTACCTTGCAATACTTCCTCAGTACTTTGTAGATTGCTTTGCAGGTCTCAGGACTCACTCCTCCCAATGCTTGAGGAGAGATACGAGTAGAAAATTTCAGGTCTTCAAGGGTTCTTCCAGTAGCCAGATAGCGAAGTGTTACTGTCAATCTTTCATTGGGTGTGATCGCTTTTCTCATGTTCGTATCTTCTTTTTTTATGTATGGCGAAAAAATACTTAACAGTTCCAGGTAAGTACTTTCATCCATACGCAGGTAGTTACTCCAGTCTTTTGGTAAACATTTAAGGTCTTGAAGCAAATCCATGTGAGTGAAATGATTTCTTCTTTCTAACCACTGCTTGGTCCCTAACTTGCGTCTGCGTTTCTTTTTTCTTTTTGCAATACACACGCGATAGCTGCATATGCAAACAGTTCATCAACTGTAGACTGCACTGCACTCGGCAACATAGTGGCATGAAGCCTGCCGGTTTATCTGCGCGTGTATGGGGAGGAAAGGGAGGGGGTAAACTGTCACAGTTTTGCCTGTATTGTCGATCGGAAGGCCAAACTGTGTGTGTACGGGGGGCCTTGAGTATTGAGTATTGAGTATTCAGAGGGTGGGTTACCCCATGCACCGCGACCAGTTTGATCTATTGTGCGTCCCCCTTTGAATTTCTGTCTCCATACCCTACCGGTACTGGTGCTTGCTATTGCTCCCTTTCTGCCAGCGAGGCTTTGGCCTTCTACTGGCAGTGGTATCTGATAGTCCCTTTCTGTCAGTGAGGTCGTCCCTCCTCTGGCAGTGGTACCTAAGCTCCCCCATCTACCGGAGGCATTGGAAACTACTTGGGCGGGAAATTGCCTAAATTTAGCTCAGAGGTCTCCTAGAGACATGACGTTCTTTTACGTGCCGTAAATCTACGATACGGGACCCACGGCTTAAAGTCCCTCCCGGAGGACTTGTTCCCTGAATTTTTCCGCCCCTTAAAAATTCCACGACCTCCGCCGGGTTTGAACCCGCGTACCTTGAGTCATGAGGTGGGAACGTTACCTCTAGACTACGGAGGCCGCTAAGCTGTATAGTCTACGTACTGACTGTCGTAACATAGCCCACAGAATAATTCTTGCAGGTAATGAGTATTGGGTACGGAGAAGGCGGGCTCAGTAAGCCAGTATCGATGAGAATCTCAAGGGCGGCCTGACGGGATTGCGCTCTTTATTCTAATCAAACGGAAGTTACTGGCATTAATGACATTACAGACAACGAATGGATGTAGTTCACTGTGTTGTATTGTTACTCGTGGCACAATATTGAAGCGATGACATGCGTGACAGTGACCGCCTCTGTGGTTTAGTGGTTAGAGTTCCTGGCTACAGATCCAGAGCTCCCTGGTTCGATTCCCAGTGCTACCAGATTTTCTCGGAAGTAGTGGGTCTGGAACGGGGTCCACGCATCCTCGTGAGGATAACTGAGGAGCTATTTCAAGGAAATAGTGGCTCCGGTCTAGAAAACCGAAATTAACGGCCGTGAGGATTTGTTGCGCTGACCACACGACACTCTCTGTCCGTTAAAGTTGGCACTAACTTCGTTGACAAGCGAAGTTTTTTTTTTGTTTCACGTAAGTGACACTTTACAACATTTGATTTCTCTTTAAATAATACGAAATATATTATGTTTGTGAATGTTTCTAATGATATTTAGTTTTTACTATGTATATAATTCAGAGCCCAAATGATTATGTCAATCTTCTGAAATTCGAGAGGTCCGGAAAGTTGAATTTAACCAGCGTTGCCTTACTCAATCAAGTGTGGAGAACGTCTGATTCTCTGAGGCTTAGATATCCTCGTAATGTTCTGGGCTTCCGAATTCAAATCATGGCTTCCTTACGGCTTATTGGTTCTTTCCATACATGAAATGATGAGGACGTTCAGCGGATCAAGTCTAAGTATGACGTCCGCGAATTAATTCACGTTATGATCTATAACTACTGAGATGCAAGTGACTGGTCGTTAGGTGTCGAGGCTCACGTGTTTATTTGCACAGCTGGGAATAGTTATACCGTGCTCGCCTTAAGCCAAGCATAGATGTTTTGTCATGTATTTCAGCTGCCATTGCCTGCGCGGTACGTCATCATAGATGAAGAGCGGATATAATACGAATTGTCACAGCAGTTTAATTTTATCACGATAGCCTGTTTTGAGGAATATACGTCGGCATTCCCTTCGTTTGCAGGCATATGTTTATCCTGAGAGTTCTAACGAAAGATGAAGTGTCATCCTTAAAGAAGGTGTCTCCCCTTGGATTTGGGTGACATGTACGCGACGCAAGGCAGACTACCTACAGCTCTATTTCAAAAGCTTGTATTGTGCTGCTGATTACCAACATGCCGATAATGCGAAACTTTGAAGTTGTAGACCCTGTCGGACAAACTTTATATTAGTGGGTATTATTCATATAAATTAAAAACTGAACTTTGTAATCGAGAGCCCCTCTCTTCCTCAGTTATATGCGGAGTGTATAGGGTGGAATGATAGGGTGTTTGGTGAATGGTGAAACAGAAAGGATTTGGAAGAAGCAGTCATCGAGGTACTACCCTGGCATTTGCGCGGAGAACTGAAGAAAACCACAGAATATCTCAGTCAGGACAGCCAGTGCCTCAACCGAGATGATAACCGACACCGCACCAAACTTGATAATTAATATGTAAATTATTGCAATTTCTCTGTTAATGACCTATGCATAGTTAGTTAGTTAATTAGTTAGTTATTGGAGAGGGTGGGTTTCCCCATGCACTGAGACCTGTATTGGTCCATTGTGCTTCCCTCTGTGATTTCTACCAGTCTCTATATCCTACCAGTACTGGTGCTTACCATCAGTCCCGCCCAGCCAGCGAGACCGGCTGTACTAGCTGAGAGGTGTCTATAATGCTTCCCCCATCTACCAGAGGTATTAGAGACTGCTATTGGGCGGGAAACGTCCGTTAATTTGGCTCAGTGACCTCCTTTGGAGATATTCGACGACCTCCGCCGGGTATTTGAACCCGCGTACTACGAGTCATGAGGTGGGAACGTTACCTCTAGACTACGGAGGCCGCTATGACCTATGCATAACTCATAGGCCAAGCCTGCCTATTTATATTCATAAGTCTGGTGCATGCATTTTTTGTTATTTTCAGTAGTTTTAAGTGTATTAATTTAAGTCTGTTATACGTGTTTTCGAGGGGGCACGCGGTAGCGTAGTTGGTTGAGGCACTATGTTACAAGCCGGAAGGTCGCGAGATCGAATCCCGATGAGGTGGATTTTCTCAGTTTACCTAATCCTTCCAGCCGCACTATGGCCCTGGGGTCGACTCAGCCCATAACAGAAATGAGTACCAGGAATATTCTTGCTGGTAAACGGCGGCCGGCGCGTAAGGCTGACAACCTTACCGCCATCTATGAGCCGATTGTCTAGAAAATATGGGAACCTCAACATCTCACAACCCTACGGGCCCCCACGGCCTGTTACAGGGATACCTTTACTTTACTTAGTACTTTTACACGTGTTTTCGTCCATGGTGAGAGCATACATATTCTTTAAACATATATGAGCTCAGACTCTGAAAGTTTGAGTACTGCGTGGGATCAACTGTAGGTCTAAGCAAGGCTGGAAACTTGTTAAGGTATCCCCATTAGGGCCTAGACACTCACCAGAACTCGTTTTTGCGTTTCGGTATGCGATCTACATCTTTGAGCTTAAGGTTAATTTATTGTATGCCGAGGCGTGTTGCTGTACGAGTAACGACACAGCAGGTACCACACTGAAGAGACACATTTCTTTGATTTCGTTAAATAGTCACTATCACAAAACTGGAAGGCCTAGACCTCAATGGAATATCATTTTTAGAGCGTAATCTATAATGCAACAAAGCCAGCCGTTTATAAAAGACACTAAATATATTTAATACACTAAAAGTGTTGGTTATCTAACGACGCTTTAATATCGAGACTGTATAGAGCTAAATGGTTGGAAGTATTTTCCCGGACTTCGCCTGAAGGGGCTGAGGAGAACCACGAGAAACCTTACTCGGAATAGCCGGTGAGCCGGCAAAGATTTGGACGTAGACACTCCTGATTCGAGTCTAGAGCGTTACTTCTAGAGATCAGTTCAGTTTTTTTGGTCTAGACAAATGTTTATTAACATAATGTCAGTTTTATATGATTACATAGTCCCACACAAGAAACGCAGGACAGAAATGGAGCTGCAAGGACAACATTAGAAAGTAAACTTAATTCGAACTAACACTGAAAGAAGCAAAGGAACCGGAAAGTTGACGCAATTTTATGGCGATATTACTGAGTAGGTTTGACTCAGTGTGGCAGAGACCTTGCCTCGTTTTCACGCAACATCTGGGTCGAATATACGATAAGCAGTTCCATGTCTCGTTCCTCAGGCCCATCGTGTGATTTGAATTAAGGGATTCATTAAAAGTGGAGTTACAGTAGAAAGGAAGTCTGAAAGATAGAGACGCAGGAAGGAAGAATGAAAGTAAGGAAGGAAGACTAACAAGAAGTTCTGGGAGGAACTAATCCCCTACTTTCCTTTGATACGACACGGCTCGCACTGACTCTCTTTCAGTAAGACACGGACCGTACAGAAAACGACGCCTCAAACAATTCTTTTATTGCCGTAGGAACGTGTCTACCGAGCCGTTGCCAAGCAACTATAGAAGGGGCAAAACACATGAGGAAACAGATTGAGGGGAGGGTTTTATGAAGAACGCCGTTGAGATGGGCTCACGTGCCGTGATATACCGTATTTACGCATGTATAGGCCGCACATTTTTTGCCAAAAATTCTAGAGGAAAACTGGGGTGCGGCTTATATTCGAAATATTCGAAATCACACTTCATTTAAAAAAATATATATTCATAATTAGTAATACAGGGTGTTCTACTCCTGAAATAATATTCCAAGAAAATTATTTTTTCTATAATTTCTGTCTGAAAATTGTGCTGCGGCCTATACACGCACGCGGCCTATACATGCGTAAATACGGTATGTATCAAGTTTCATAAAGATTGGTTCGGGCACTCAAAACATAATAGGGGGATGTGCAGGTATACGTGTACACAGACATATAGCAAGGTGATTTCAAACGGTAAAAATAAAGTTGTCCCTGTGCTTAACTAATTAAGCACTACGCCATGAAGACGTATGGGAGAGTGGATGTATAGGTCGACGTTTTCTTGTCCTCTACACTAGTTGGTGAGTGGTCAGCTTCACGCCCCGGCCGCTTTACCCGCAGGGAATGAGCCCCGCTGCCCATTGGATAGGAGGCTGTGTGGGCACGAGGGCCAGTCTTGACGACGTGGAGAATAGAAAATTTTTCACCCTACTGGGACTCGAACTCCGACCCCTCCGTCCAGCCCGTAGCCGGTCG